CCCTCCTTGTGCATGAAGCCCCATTAAGAGCTTAGTTTTGTCATTAAGAGCCTTTTTAGTCATGCATGCACGTAAATTTTGCAACTTTACGTGAAAAGCATGCCCTAGAAGCTTGGATCTGTAATTTGGAGCCATTGCATGGCTTATATGAGTCTGTATGGCTTAAGGACTGAAGGGACTCGGCGAGTCGCAAGGTTGACTCGGCGAGTCATATGAAGATTGCCATAGACTCGATGAGTTGGATGAACAACTCGGTGAGTCCGATGAAGATTGCCATAGACTCGACGAGTTGTATGAACAACTCGGCGAGTCGGATGAGTTTTCCCCAAGTTATGAATGTTTGTGTATCCATCGTGTTGCAAGAAGGAAACTCGGCGGGTGGCCTTAGGGTTCGATTGAAAATTGTAGGAACTCGACGAGTCATCCCGGTGACTCGGCGAGTGGAAAATAACTTCAAGGAACTCGGCGAGTAGCTGAGGGTACTCGGCGAGTTAAGGTCAACATGGACTGTTGACCTTGAGTAAGGACTTTGACCAGCGGTTGTCTAGTCGGCTCATGGAGCACTTTAAAGGTTGAGGACTTTTGAGAATGATTCGTTCTATGGTAATAGGTGGTGGAGTCTTTGGCAAGTGATTCGAGAGTTGGGATTCATCTACCGAGTCGACATCTGCGAAGTGAGTTATCCTCACTATATCAAAAGGGTCTAAGGCACCAAGGTCGGCCCTTTAGTTGTTATCGTTATGATATATATATATATATATATATATATATATATATATATATATATATATATATATGGTTATGATCTGATAGATTGGAATCAGGATAGACAGTATGTTATGTTTCTATGATCCTTAGGGATCGGTATGTTAGTGGCCTGCTAGGTCGGTATTCTAGTTATGAGAGATTGCTATGATTGATGGTCAGTGAGTTAGTTATGTTCGATGCTTATATATGCCAGTATATGTTAGTTATGTGTACATGATTGTTTGCTCGTTGATTTGGGTTCGGCGGTCCTGCTTTGTGCTGAAGGCTAACATACCCTATGAGCGGTCCGGGAAGACTGTAGGCCCACGTGGCGGTCCAGTCATGCCAAAGGCTCGGTATAGATTCAGTTAGACTGTAGGCCCTGTAGGGCGGTCCAGTCAGGCCAATGGCCCAGTATGCATGTTGTTGATTTATGGTTACAGATTTGGCATTTCAGTGTGGTATTGGTATTTTGGGGGTAGCTCACTAAGCCCTTGGGCTTACAGTTTTCAGTGATTGTTTCAGGTACTTCAGGAGATCGTGGCAAGGCGAATGTGTGACCGTACCGCTCCTCATCCTTATGATCTGTTTTCGGGACACTCTGATGAAGATTGATTTGAAAATGTTTTGTAAACAAATACTATTTGGTTTTTATTATGGATTGAAAAGTTGAAATTTGACGTAAAATTTATGGATGTTACAGTAAGTAACATTTCATAGCAAATAAAGTTTGGCTCAAGTATTTTATCGGCACAGTAAGTAACAATTCATAGCAAATAAAGTTTGACTCAAGTATTTCTTCTTACGAAAAAAAAGAGAAATTAAATATCCTCCTATCTTTTCTTCATACTTATCTTCCTACCTACATGAAATTATGACAAGTGTCATATTTAGATTAAACTAATGATATGTTAGGACACTTGTTATTATTTCAAATGGGTAGGACACTTGTTATTATTTCAAATGGGTAGTAAGATAATTAGGAAGAAAAGTAGGAGAATATTTAATTTCTCAAAAAAAATTAAATATTAGGAAAATGGGTTGGAAGAAAAAGTAGGAAGATATTTTATTTCTCCTCTTTATATATTTTAGTATCCTACTTAGAAGGCAAAAATTGTGGATCCATATGTACTTATTCTAGCATATATTATTAAACATCAAGTCAAATTATATATTACCCCAGGGCCGACTCCGAGATTTTGGAGACCCTGTGCGATTTAACAAAAAATAAACCTTAAAATTAGAAAGATCACAAACTTTAAGCAAAAGTATTATAAATTTTAATTTTGTTTCTTTTTACGTTTTTCATATCCCGATTCATATTTTTTTAATCTAGGAGGCATGCGATTTGTCGATTTCTTCTTGTTTCTATATGTTGAAACTCAAGCAACAAAAGGGTATGAAAACTGTAAAATAATAGAAAAGAATAAAAAAAATAGAAATTAAATCAGAAACAAATCATATATTCTTCTAATAAAGAAATTCAGAAATCAACAAAGTACATTCTGATTTTTGTCACTTCAAATCAGCAAGAAAGAGTCAAAAATCTATTTCCTCAATGCTTGTTCTGATTAGTATAAGAAATCAACAGAAAGACAAAAGGAGTACCATAAATCAAGAAGAAAGAGTATTAACAATCAGAAAAAAGAGTATCAGAAACAAAACAAAGAAGTAAGGAACCAGGATCTTCAAAATTGATGTACCTCCAAAATTATGAAATCGATTTCCTCAACGCTTTGTTCTGATTTTCGGAACTGATCTGCTTCAGTGCTTGTTCCTCTGTTTCTCACTCAATTTCTTGTTCCTTCAGAAATTAGAAAAAAAAGATACTAAGCAGAAGAAAAAAAGTAAGGAGTCGGGAAAAAATTGGAAATACCTTAATCCCTATCTTCTCCTTCTGATTTTGAAACCTCAACATGGAATTTGAAGCTTCTAAAATCTGATTTTCGAGAAAAAAGAAGTGAAGAACGATTTTCTAATTTTTGAGACAGATTGTAAGTGATTTGTTTCAGAATTTCGTGAAGAAAGAAGAAAGAAGGAAGATTGTCGATTGCCTCATTCAAACAATATCGTTGCAGGTTTAATTCATGTCGCAAGCGTAAGCAAAGAAGAAATCGAAGAGTTGTTTTTTTCTTTTCCCGAAATTTCTTTACTTTTTCCCGCTCCTTCTATCTTGCTTTCGTCGACTGGTTTTTGTTGCTTTAACCTAATTTTTGTTTTGGGCCATTAACTGAACAAAGGGTAATACGAATGCTAAAAATAATTTGCGCCCTCTGTTTTTTTGAGGCCCTGTTCATAAGCACCTTGTGAACTTGCCAAGGGCCGGTCCTGATTACCCCTTAAAGCATCCACAATGCATAATCTAATGAGATAGTTGAATGATGTGACATGCCTAATTGACATTCATTGATTAAACTCTATCATTGTAGAATGTCATATTGACATTCAATAGGTATGGAATTCAATGGTTATTGAACTCTACAATGGAAAAAAATGAAACTTTCTAATAAGTTCAGTGCATTGTGGATACTCTTAGTAGATAATTACATATAAGTATCGGTATCATGAATGCCTTGAAAGCTCCTCCACGCATCTTTATCTTAGTAGGATTTTTAAAATTTAAACAACAATCAAATATATTGATGTTTTTTTATATAATTACCAAGGTTCTAAATAACGTTAGGCGTGACTTTTGCGGCAATATCAAACCTCAAGTTTTTACATGTCATACGTTGTTTGTAAGACGTGACTTAAGGCTGCAATTTTGTATATAATTAATATTTTTATATGTATTTTCTAGTATTATTTATGTGTATATACATATATGACTTAAGACGACATTTTGTTAAAGTATGATATCAAGTACAAGCCTTAGAGTCATGGTGTGCCATGATGAGTTTTTTAGAACCTTGATAATTACATTCCGAATATCCCTCCTAAAGTACTTGTATAAAGTTATGCTCTTACACAAGTTGATCATGTAAATATATTTGTCATTTTACTGATATAAACCAAGGTTCTAAAAAGCTCGTCATGACACGTCATGAATCTAAGGCTTGTACTTGTCGTTAAACTTTGATAAAATGTCGTCTTAAGTCACACACACACACACACACACACACACATATATATATATATATATATATATATATATATATATATATATATATAAACAAAATTGTCGTCTTAAGTCATGCTTAACAAATGACGTAGCTCGTCACAGCTCAAAAAAATTTGAGATTTGACATTGCCGACAACTCACGCTTAACATTATTTAGAACCTTAATATAAACCATATAATATGGAATATATAACAAGTGAATAATATATCCACATCATAAATATATGAGAAATTAAATATCCTCCTAGTTTTGTTCCTATAAATCTTTTTATTAATTAAACGATGACATGTGTTATGTTAGGATACTAAAATATCATTAAATGGACATTAAATGTTACAAATGTCATTATTTAATTGGGTAGGAAAATTTACAGAAGAAAAAGTAATAGGATATTTAATTTCTCTAAATATATTCAATCGGCCATCGTCTAACTCATGTTCCCCTATCATTGCTCACATTTAATGAATGGTTGGATATATACCATTCAGATTGATGTCCTTAAAGAATAATTTATTACAGAATTTAGCCTCTTTGACCATTCACAAAATGATAGTGGAAAAGGACATGTCATAAAGAGCTATGACAAATTTGTCACGATAACTGATATCGATAAAAGGTTTTGTTTAAAATTGATAAAAAGAAAATATAAAAACCATGCAAATACTAAATGTTCTCCAACAACATATTGTATTATTTTTAACAAAAAATGTATCCTAAGTTTTTATTTTTATTTTATTTTATTAATTTTTTTTTGTAGTCTATGGGTGTAATAAACAAAAACGTCTAGGTCCAAGAAAAAGTCATCGATTTATTGGAAAGTATTAGAAAGAAAGTGTATTCGGGATGAAGTGGAAGTAAAAGCTTTCTTTTAAAATAAAGATGGTCTTAATGTTTGGTTGCCTTAATAAAATTGTTGTAGAATATTTTTACATGTTTTAAAAAACAACCGTTCTATTTGTTAGCTTTTTATAACTTGATAAAGTTGTGTTTTAATATATTAAAGGTATTAGATATTTTATGCTATATATTTAATATATTTATATCAATTTAACTTGTAATATAATATCACAAGTAACAATATTAAATATAACATAAAATGTTTCTTGTGCGTTGCACGGGGTGGAAGGTGTTGCTTTGTTTAGTATAACAACGTACTTTCATTTCACCCTATTATAACTCTATAAAAACAAAATAGTTGGAAGTATAATGTTGTATTTAGATGTTGTACAAAAGATAGTAGTAGGATGCTATTGCTATAACAAATGAAATACTTGAAAGTACACTACCTTAGATGGAACATGCCCACCCTCATCCTCCTTCTCCACATCTTAATTCTCATGTTGCTCAGATCCCATTCTAAGGACGTCTCCTATAATCATGGTATCCTTTCACGGAAAACTCTCACATCCCACATCCTCATTTTCCTTTCCCCGGTCACAATCTTTCGACTCTTTCGATGCTTTAGAAACCCCATAAACCTATATAACATCATCTTGGTCAACTAATCTCAGACTTTTCGGTTGAGGGTTATCTTGCTAATTTTGCACCGCCAACGTCTCCCCCGATTGCGTTACACATATCGACTGATCCGGAGCACAAAACTGCATCGGGCCTCTAGGATGCGCGACCGGAATTGAAAATTCAGTTGTGGTGCACATCTGGAGGTGATTTACAAAATAAATACAAATTACAACAAAAACTGCTTTAATTCTACCTGTAATATGTAGAACAATGTATTGAATTTAAACTTTGAAAAATATCGTTGCTATCACACCATGATTATTTTGTTTTGAGAACAAACATGGATGTTATTCAGCATACTGCTCACCCTAATTTCTTTTGTACATAGATATGTCCAGATTTTCCCCTTCCTAGTGGCTTCCTAATGATTTGGTGACACCAAGCATCCACATTTCCTTCTTTGTTACAGCTTTTATAGAGACCTATATAATCACAAGAAACAAAGTACAAAGTAATATAATCATGCATCCAAAGATAAAGTAATCTGGGATATTATATTATTATGCAAACCGTTGACTCTTACATAAATTACATATAAAAAGATAATGTATAATCCATTTGAAACTGTTTTGTTGGGATTTTGCAAACCATAGATATGTTCGAATTTTTCCCTTCCTAGTGGCTTCCTAATGTCAAAGTCACCAAGCGTCCACCTTTCATTCTCTGTTACAACTTCTATAGAGACCTATATAATTACAAGAAACAAAGTACAATGTAATATAATCATGCATCCAAAGATAAAATAATGTGGGATATTATGCAAAACATTACCTCTTACATAAATTGCATATAAAAAGATAATGTACATTTCATTTGAAACTGTTTTGTTGGGATTTTGCAAACCATTGACTCAAAAATACCATTTCACGTTTTGTATATACACTCGCAAAACAGGTTTATCTAGAATCACGACTTCTGGAATTTTAAGTGGAAAAGCTACATAACAGTTCATTAATAAAAACAAAATAAGGGGTAAATGAGTTTTAAATGGGTAGTGGCAATATATAAATAAGATCGCTTACTTGTATCCACAACAAAATTTAACCAATCATTGCATCTTCTCATGTCTAATAAGGAGATCCTTTTCACACTTTAATACCCGAGAAAACAAAAACATGCCTAAAAAAAGAAACAATAACTATATTATGCTCCGTAGAGAAAATGATACAAAGAATGCTTTTCACGATGACATCATTCCAATTACTATAGAGATCTATGAATCTGATTACAATAATTTTTTTTACCCTTTTGAATCGGCGTCCCAAATCTAGGACATCCTAGTTAAAATTTGAACCTTCAAAATGTTCTTTGTCACACCTATACCATATCATTCAGTGGAATAAAACAAATGAGAAATTTTAAAAAGAACTACAAGTCACCATGAAGAGAACCCGACTTTGTGTCTTTCAATGAATATAAAAGGTTGAAGAAGTGTATAAAACTTCTCATACAAGTCCAATAAAAAAAATGAAGCCAAGAAATGTACTTGAAATTAAAGAAAAAATATATTTAAGAGAAAGAGAGTGGGGTTATTGTCAGGTCATTATGAAAGTCAATGTTATTTTTAATTCCTTGTTCCTAGATCCGTTTTCCCTAACTACAAAATCGATCTTCATGTTCACACATAAATACAAAGAAAAATAACTATGATCGGTAAATGTGTTTTCTATAAGTACCTCTTTCTTTTTCAATTTCACCCCCTTATTTGATTTTTGGTTTTTGTTGTTGTTTTTTTTTTCTTATTTTGTTTTTTTTGTTGTTTTTAATTCTTTTTTAATTATTATTATTATTATTATTATTATTATATTATTTTATTATATTATTATTATTATTATTATAAATTTCGTACAAAATTTTAACATTCGGAAGACATTATAAATTCAAACGGCTATATAAAATCGGTTTTTAAATATATTTTTTATATTTTTTAATTACGCACAAAATTTTAACATTCGGAAGACATTATAAATTCAAACGGCTATATAAAATCGGTTTTTAAATATTTTTTTTATATTTTTTAATTACGGACAAAAAATTCGTTCGAATTTTATAATGTCGTGCGAATTTATAATGTTTACCGAATTTTAAAATGTCATCCGAATTTAATAGTAATAATATTAAAATATAAAATAAAAGGAAAAAGGAAAAAAATCAAAAACAAAAAGGAAAAAAAAAAGAAAAAAAAATAATGTCAAATCAAAAGTAAAAAGTTGATTTGATTGATGTTAGGAGGGGTAAAATTGGTTAAGGGGGTACTTATAGCACAACCCTCAGTAAATCGATAATTAATGAATCAACACTTAAAAAAATTAGACTATAGTTTAGTTGGGTTTTGGATGGGTGTTTATTTTCGATCAGAGACGAACAATAACCAACATATCTTTTAGGAGGGATGATTTTTGTACCTTGAACAACAGAAAATAAAAACAAAATGTAGATAGATGACATTTGGTACTTGGGTACATCCCACAACATAGTTAACTGCCAACATATTGGCCATTTTTTGCTTACCTATGACCTACAAAGAAGATATCTCTGAAAGATCTTTATGCTTAATGATCATTATAAAATGATATTTATTAATAATGTATGATCGTATCGGGTCACATTATGTAACAAGTAAACACTAATTGATTATTTATTAAGTAACTAGTTTATAACCCGTGGGAACCACGGTTACAAAATTAATTAAACTTTTATAGTAAAAACTCAAAATTATTAATCAATTATTTTAAATAAATTATTAATTAAAAAAAAATTTAGTTATATAAATTGTAATCATTGATTTAAATAAATATATGAAATTATATCACTTTATAATTTGTATTAATTTTATTTTAATTTTTATTCTAATGTTATTAATTTAATGTAATTAGAGTGAGAAATTTAAATTTTGAAATTTGAAATGGAGAATAAATAGATTGACATGTGACATCATTAATTAAGAGATATAATATTATGACACATGGCGAAAGGAGAATAAAATATGCATTAATTAAGAGGCTTAATAGGGTGACACATGTCAAAAGGAGATTAAAACTATTCTTTTATTAGAATAGGAATATGATTATTAATAAAACAATCCATACTTATATTCAATTGGGGTTTTTTTTTGAGAAAATAATAATAAAATGTATCATAACTAGTTACATGAAACTCAAATACCTGACCTTCTGCTTCTGATTTCAGTCCCCTTCGATGGTGGATTCAGAGGTTGAAGGAGCGTAGGTCGGAAGCCGGAACTAGGTCACTGTATTATCCCAAAAACCTAAAACGATTGAACACAGAAGAGTATGTGTTAATTATTAATTTGTATGTTGTTTTTATTGATTAAATAAGAATAATGTATAAAATAAATAATATTTGTGTATAAACAATATTGAAGTTCATATTATGAAAGTATAAAAAGTTAGTAAATAATATGAATTTTATTATGGAAATTTAAAAGATTTATACAACGCCGGTATTGGGTTATAAATTAAAAGTGAAAATATATTATTTTGTAGCCAAGGTAATGTAAATGAAAGTTGTAGTATATGTAAATATGAGACCGTGGATATTAAGAATGTCGGAAATGGAGATTGTATGAAGAAGTTGTGATTTTTCAAAGTTACAACATGTCCAGTCTTATTAAAAAATATAAAGTAAAAATATATTACAATTTAGGGGGGTGTTTGGATAAATTAGATTATAGCTTATTAGCTTATTGTTTATTAGCTTATTTGCGGTGGGAATAAGCAATAAGCAATAAGCAAAGGGGGATATGCTTATTAAAATCAACTTATTTAGCTTATCCCTACCATAATAAGCTGATTTTTAAGGATTTCTATCAAAACAATTAAACTTAGCTTATTGTGGTGGGAATAAGCAATAAACAATAAGCACCCTCTTTTTTCGCTATCCAAAACACCCCCTTAGTTGTTGAGATCTAAATTAAAGTTGTAGTAGACGAAAATATTAAATTGTGGATATAAAGAACGTCGAAGATTGAGTCCGTATGGGAAAGTTACAATTATCTGAAGATAACGAAAAAATAGTAGTTTCCAGAGCAGCAGCCAGCCAAACGCCAACTACCAAATTCAAGGCAGCCATAGGGCCATGTGATTTCCTAGTTTTTTGGCCCCTATAAATAGCAAACCACCTCTTCCTTGTTCCATTGCTAATTTCGATCGAATTTCTCTCTCAATCCTCGAGATTTCAGTCCTTTGTGATTTAATTTCTTCGTTCTTAAGTATCGCTAGCGAAGTGCTGGAGCGTTGCAGAATCTTTTTAGGAAAGGTCTAAACTTCAAAGTTATGCGCGCCGTTTTCTGAGTTTCTGGCCAATCGGGTAAGTTCCATTTTCGCTTGAGAAACTTGATATAGTGTATACCCATTGTCATTATTATGAACCTAAGAATAAGATTAGGTATTAATTCTAATTATATTGCTAATTGATCTACTTACGGGAGCGGTGCCTTGGATAGACATGTTGACTTGGTTGTTAGATTTCATAAAAAAACTATATGCCGAAATGATATTGTCTCTCGAGTGTCTTGACTGGCTAATCCTTACTTGATACTCATGAAATATTATGTTGAAATTAATAATAAATTAAACTAAAAATATTAAGATTATATAAATAGGAATATATAATTCATCGTAACGATCTCGAACGTTATAAATACAAATAAAAAGTTTAAGTGAGAACTAAACTTAGCAATATTTGTGTTTAGATAATTGGAAAGGAAAGCAGAAGTGTTAAGACGTAAGACAATCTGCTCGAATAAACATTCACTTTTTTACAGGTGAGTGTGTAGTTACTTGCATGGCACATAATTACATAAAAAGTATTTTTATATCAATTGAATGCTTATATATTTACCGAATGTTTATTATCTAAAGTATGTGTTATGTGTATATTTATACAAAGATGATAATATTGCATGCTATTTACTGTGTCGGATATGGTTGAATATTGTCTAGTTGACATGCTAAATTTATTTATCTCATTATCATGCTTAGGTTACATTTAAACTGGATAATGAGTAGTCTTATATTGGGGGTGTGTGTGAGATTTGAACAAAGTAGGGGCCTTGTTTCTATGGCACTATTACATGTCGGGGTACTATTCCGTATCATAGTACTATTACATACTAAGTCATCTAACGGAGTAATTTGACGACCACTGACTATTCTAGACATTCTTGTGGAACATTGTTGGGTTAGCAACCCGTAGATGTAGGTGAATCATCTATACATTCGAGTAGGTATGATATTCATTTGACTACTATATCCCCTTCATGGTTTCTCTTATTGACTTACACTTGCCAATGAATCCTCGAAGCAGTGTAGTCAATTCGTTACTTACAGTGATCCATCAGGTTAGATCCCATAGGATCATTGTTATAGGATGAGTGTGTGAGAATCGATGGGTTGGGTAACTAGTGGTGCATTATCATAGAGATATATCATACATGTATTGTTTGATAATGTTTGTGTTGCATGATAAATATAATAATAATGTCGGTTGAAAATCCTATGTGTCTCGCCAGGTTCCCAAACCTGGTCCACTCAAACTTTATGTATTACAGATAGCGATATTAATGCTGCTGGAAATTGATAAGAGTATGCTAAATGATTAAGAGACTTATTATTGTATTGTGTCTTGTAATAAATTATGCTTGTAACTTATGTTTGTGATAATGATTATGACATCCTTAGAGTTGTATTTTTAAACATGATTTGATATGCAAAAATGTTTAAGTTTATATGGGATTTTCCGCAACAGAGTTCTACAAAATACTACCATTTTCAAAGCATAAAAGAAAAGTTTTTTTTTCAAGTCTGAAATTAAGGGGTGTCACATGAACTCTATTAATGTCACGATAACAAGAGAATAACACATAGCAGCGAAGCCGATGAAAACCACCTCGGCTCCAAACCACATGGTATTGGAGCCGACTCAATACCTATCACTATTCATAAGTCGACATCCATTTTAATATATAATAATATATAATACGCATATTTTACTTTCTGCTTTGTAACGTTTTTCTTCGTCTAGCAGTTCATTATTTTCTTAATGAATGTTTCATCGTTATATATATATATATATATATATATATATATATATATATATATATTACAACTAATAAACTAAAATTGAATATAAGAGACCAACAATTAATTTATACTAGTGAAATTTTAATATTATATATAATGTTAATAATTTACATAACACTATATGTTGTGATATATTCTTCATCAACACCAACTTTAATGTATATTTGTTGTTTTGCTGGAGCAACTCTACATGAAAAGTGAGAGAAAAAATAAATTGTAATTTTGGGTTGAACATGTCCTAAAAGAAAAGTTGTAATGTTTTTAAATAATTCATATAACTACAAAAAGGGACCCTAGAATATGAATTATTTTTTGTCGGTTGTACAAAAAAATCCAAAATTTAAAGTCATCTTTAAGTTAACCAGCATTATTTGTCCAAAAACAAAAAGTGAATGACAAAACACACATCCAAACTCCAAAGACGTGTGTGGACAACACTTGGGACTTGGGAGAGAGTCTCATTTCCATATTTTTATTTGAAAAATCAATTTTATATTTTATGTTTATTTTATTATTTTATGGACTCTTGTTCAGCTTTACTCTGCATACGCAGCCGGCAGCTCATTGAGTCTGAAATAGTAAAATAATACTTACAAAATAAAGGAAAATAAAACATGGTATAAACAAATGCTATGAACTCTAAATGCCATACCTACCTCGTTGACTTTGACCAAATTACAATTACCTCCACACAAATATAAAATTATCCATTCCTTCTATTTTTCTTCCATATTTAATGTTTTTTTTTATAAGAAACTAACTTTTATAAAATAATATTTTTAATGCAAAACTACTCAAGCATATAAAACAATGCCAATTAATTTAACATCATCTATCTTATCACCAATTTAATTCATATAGTGTTCGCGCGCTTTAATATAAGTTTTTAACTTTACGAGTCTAACTACTATAATTTCATGTAATGAACGAATTAATATGTGGATATACGACTAGAAAAAATATCCTTACAATTTATTAAATAAGTAACTGCTTAACCATAAGATTATAAAAAGTCAAGGTTTTTTCACTAACATCTAAAATGTTATTATCATACATAATGTTTTCTCCATTTATAGGAATTTCTGTTTTGTAAAATATTCTAAAAATACATAGTCCTCGCATTTGGGTAACAACAAAAGGGTGCCCACTATTTAGTATTTAGTTTACCCACCATGATAATGGAACCGAACGGACTGTGGCTGTGGCCCACTTTAACCCACGATGATTAGGAATCCAACTGGTGCACTATCGACCATTGTGGTCCAGTTATGTAGGCCCTATAATATGCTCGTGTAATCATAGTTACCAAGTTAAATGAAGGTTCACATCTCAAAATGGATGATCGAATCACACTTTTTTGTCATAAAATTATGCATAAATTTCTAAATGCATCTTTAATGAACAAATAAATCATTAAAAAGTTACGTGTTTAACCCAAAATCGTCATTGGAAACGTATATGGCATGGTTTCAAAGTGGTATATTCACAGAAATGGTCTCAAAAGTTCGATTCTTAACAACTACAATGTGAGTTTTAATTCCAATACAAATTGGCCTTCTTGAAGGAACTAGGCTCTTTTATATTGCTATGTATCTGATTTGCATCTCATATCGTATATCGTACTCAACAGTATGAGTCAACTAAAACATTTGTCAATCCTAATGATGCACGACTTCCATACAACAAATACAATAGAGCCATTCAACATGCTTAACATAAATATAACCATAAAAATAGGAAGTATGGGGCGCTTGTGTGGTCTTATGATACTTTTTTTTTCTTTTTGTATTATAAGACGTGCAATTTTAGACATACTGATGCCCGAATGAGATGTGGTCAAATTTTGTAATAGTCAACAGTTCAACTACTCACGTTTGTTAATGGGCTTGAAGGGATTAAATAATCTTGGAAAGAAGGAATTTGACAAGCGTTTGATCGGGACACCTTTTTCAAGAAATTCATCGATTTTGTTTTCCTTTTGCTCATAAAGGTAGAAAGCAACAAAGGCAAAGGGAAGCACTGCAAAAAATGAAAACAATTTGTTTGTAGTGAATTGATTCATTCCTAAAACATCTATCCGATCATATAATGATTCTTGTTTCTTCTCAAATAAGACCAATCCATTTTTAATACAAAAATATTCAAATCTTGTTTTGAGCTTAACAGGCATGTATTGCATTTGGTATGCATTAGACTGAGACTGAATCTGGGCCTGGGACTGATTTCTTGTTAGTACAAAAGACGTGAATGCCCTTGTTGTCATAAAAATAATCCTAGTAAGACAAAGTACGAACCTTTCGAAAAGAAACTTTGAAGTGACAAGGATCCAATCAAGCCAAGCATGAAGAGTGATATAACCATCTTTTTATCATGAAAGCAAAACACGTTTTTGTTAGATATATGAAAGAATAAAACGCAAAGAACTACATAAACAAAATAATAAATGTTGATTAAAGATTATATGCTAAAAATTGAAATAACAAGTTGAATAGAGTTTATCCAATGGAAGTAAGTACCTTGAAGAATATCCTTGAGTCACTCGCACTGGAAATAGATGTTAGACTATTAGCTGCATAATTCCATGAAGAAGCCACTGATAAAGCAGTCTGGTGGTATGATTTATCTGTGAACTGAAACTTTGATTTTGGAATTTTGTCAATTGAATATCCCATGCTGAAACAGAAGAAACCATGGGTTACAAGCTTTTGTATTTATACATACTATTTTTAGATTAGAGGATACTCACAAACTATTTGGCAACCTCCCATGGATAAACAAAAAAATGGTTGCCATGATGAAGACTTTGGAAATGGAAGTAATCATGGTTTGTCCAGGTACTACAAAATTGACATAGAATCCAAACAAAACCACCATTGCACCAAGTGTCACTTTTGCATCCCTCCATAGAAGTATGTCTGCAACTGCAAACCCATAAACAAAATAAAATGAAATTCAACTATGAAAAAACTAATTAGATTATTAATCAAAATCCCATACCAATTCCATTTCCAAGACATACAGCGGCTTTAGAAGGTCTTTCCTTACTATGCCAAAGTTCAGCTCTGAGATCAGCATACGAGTCAACAGTTCTTTTCACACCCTCCTGCAACAAATCAAGAGTATTGAATGTTTTTCTTTTTTTACTCAAAACTACGTAGTTTTAGGTGGTTCTTCTTCTACACCTGAGCTTAGATGTAAATTAGGGAAATGAGTGAACCTGAAGTGATACAATAGGTCTGTAGCCAAGTCGATCATTTGCTTTTAAAGAACTAAAAGTTGTGTTGCAAGTGAGGAGTCTGATTCTTGAAGGTGTCAACTGTGGTACCTTCATCCCATAGGGTGCTAACCTCTGATATATACGCTCTACTAAATGGGCAATTGGCATAATCACAAAAGCAGGAATCTTGATTTGTGGCCTGTAAACTACATTATATCAGAAATAAAGACAACATAACAATGTACTCCAAATAATACCTTTCATAGCCAAGGCCTGAAAGAATAAGTGCCATGAACTCCCAAAACTTGATCGGCTCCATGTTAGTTATAAAATAAGCCTGGAAAATCAACATGAATAGATAGCTTTTAAGGTATGAAATAGTTCAAATCTACAAACTATACATGTGTTTTTTTTATCATGATTGATTATACAAGTAAATTAAGTATTACCTCGCCTGCAGCTCTCTTTGATACAGTACCTCCTGATGCAAGAGCTCTTTCAGCACATACATGTGCATGTGCCACATTTTCAACATAAGTGAAATCATACATGTTCTTTCCATCCCCAATCATAAACTGCTAGTTCATAATTCATAAATTAAGTCTATGTTTATATGTATTCCTGTAAGATCAGGTAACATATTGTGCATAAAATCAACAAGACAACACATGTGCATAGAGTCAAATTGATGTAAAAATGTCAATGCCAAGGGTTAGGAAACCTTCCATTCACATCATAAGTAGTCGATGCATAACCATCATTTAGATACATGAATATGTGATTTAATTTCAGATTGAGAAAAAAAAATGTAATCTGTTACCTTTGATTTTCCTGCTCTTGCTGCAGCAACTAATGTTGGAACAAGCAACTTATCACCAGGACCAAAAATGCTGCTAGGACGAATACAGCATGTCAAAAGTCCATTCATGCCATTTGCCTTGATAACTAATGCCTCTCCTTCAGCCTTAGTTGAAGAATATGAATCATTGTGCTGAAACATTATAATGCACCTCATTGTTAATTTAAGAAAAAAAAGATAATGATTTTTCTTCTGGCATATATATAGTATCTTGATGGAAAGAATACCTTGGCAGGATATGGCATTGCTTCAACCCCATCAAGTATTCCATGTATCCCATCAAACACCACACTAGGAGAACTAGTATAGATAAGCCTTTTCACATTTAACACACTACAAGCATCAATTATGTTCTTTGTGCCTGTAGATCATCAAACAACAACAAGTCATTATTAAAAAGTAAAATGTTTATAACTCATACATATATAAATATTAAAAGTGTTTTACCATGAACATTGACTGAATAATGCAGCTGGTGGTTATTGATTGATGAATCTGGAGCAGCCATATGAAAAACAACTTCAACCCCTTGACAAGCTTCACAACAAACAAAAGTGAAATCTAAGAAGCAAGAATAGGTTTAGAATTGTAAATTTGGTATATTTGGATGTAGCAACAAGGTTACCTTTATATACTTGAGATTTGTTGCGCAGATCCATAGATACATATTGAGCACGACCTGAGGATAATGCTTGCCCAAGAATTCCTCTCTCTTCATGGCTTTCAAGCCTGATATCAGGCCCAATATCTGCAATTCTAACTGCATATATATCATAACGGATCAGCATATCCACTAAATGCCTTGCTGCAAACCCTCTTCCTCCAGTCACAAGGCACCACATCTCTTGTGCATCAGCCATTTTGTATTACCAAATTGCCCCTGTGATTCTATAAACATACAAGTTCACACCCTCTGGCACAACCAATGCTTTGGAGCTAGAACACTCCAAAATGCAACCTAGAGCTCCATCCTTTCAAAAGAACATATTTACAACTTTCAATCCACAGAAAAAAAAAAAAAAAAAAACCTGCATTCATCTTTTAAAAAGCTAATCATTAATTGCTTCTTGTGTAGGAAAAAATGATAATCTCATTATCATCGGGTTTGCAGTGTGAAACCTGGTACATTTCAGATACAAAATCTACATATACGTATTCCACTAAGACACTAACAGAACTATTAAATGTGCAATGTTTTTCTGAGAAGTTGAAATTCATCAATTTTAAAGGAAAAGAAACTGCTTAACAGAGAAAATGAAAATGTAGCAACAATTTTGCAACTGGATGAATTATACCTAGTTTCTACGCAGAGTTGCCTAATTATGCTTCCATTTAGGAGTTGAGAACCAAATTAACTTTGTATTCACAAAATTTTACATCAATGCCAGGATCTACTTCACCTAATTACCAAAAAAAATTGATAACCGCATCAGATAATGGCGCATTGTCGTTAAGAAGAAGACTTTTTGTTATAGGAATTTGAATTCTAGAACAAATTTTCTCTTTTTTTTTTTTTTTCTTATAGAGCCATGATATATACTAGTGAAGAAAAATTCGAAGTTAAATTCGAACGTATACCACAACTATTCGTGCAGTTGGTACCTGCAAATCGGAGATTAACAGGAATGGGTCACCGGTGGTTGCACTACGGTGACAAAGTAGCTGCAGTTCTGATCTGGCGAACGATGGAATATAACCTCCAAAGAATATTACAACTGGGTAATGGCATGCACATACTATGATTCAACGACAAACGATTAAACACATCCGAAATAGGTTTTTCTTTCTTCTTCTTTTTTCTTTCAAAAGCCCTATGTAATTTCACATTCGAAATAAGTAGAAAAAACATTCAAACATGACATTTTTTTTTTCTAAAATTAAATTATTTCACACCAAGGAAATTAAATTATTTCACACCAAGGAAAGAAGAGGAAGAAACGGTTATAACTTAATAAATAAACAAATTGTCAGTATACCTCAATATTGTAGGGATATTGTCTTTTACTTTACAGGGCTCTTTTAGGCTCTTTTAGAGATGAAGAAACAAATTAAAAAATGGATCAAATTAGGGGTTTTTAGAAAATAATTGGGACATGGTCCTAGAATTAAATAAAATTAACCACACGTAACATTGTAGAATTAAATAAAATGAACTCTTGGTGAAAATATATGTCACTTGAAGCTTGGTTGGGATAAACTTCGTGTAAAGTTTGCCGGAGGCAACTAGTTGTCTAACAAAGTGGTTATAAAGATCGATATGTTTTGCATGCTTGTGAGATACCCGATTTTGAGTCATAAACAAGACACTTTGATTATCACATAGCAATGTTGGTCAATCAGGAGGCAATGCATGAAGTTCCCTTAGGAGATGTGTAATCCAGACAATCTCTACTACAATATTAGTCATTGCCCGATACTCAGACTCACAACTGGATCAGAAAACAGTGGGTTGCATTTTGGTACTCCAAGAGACGAGGTTACCACCAAGAAAAATTGAATAGCCGTAAGTGGAGCGACGGGTTTCAATATAACGAGCCCAATCAGCATCGGAGTAACCTAAAATTGAATTCGAGTGTGGTCGACGATAAATAAGACCAAAGGTTATAGTACCTTTTACATAGCGCAAGATGTGTTTGATCGACTGAAAGTGAGCATCCGTTGGGGCATGAAGATATTGACTTGCTTGATTAACATCATAAGATAAATATGGTCTTGTGATGGTTAGATATTGGAGAGCTCCTACCAATGAGCAATAAAGGGTTGGATCGGAAAAGGAAGCTCCATCGGAAGTAAATGTCTCATGAGTAGCTACTGGTGTTGGCACTAGTTTGGAGTTGTAACATCGTAAACCCTATGTATTTATTTTATTTTTAATTTAGCCCAAAAATCGTATTAATTTGACGGGGTGTTCACTATCGGGACTTAAATGTTATAAATTCTGGAGATCGGGGGTTAAAGTGTAACCTTTGGACCAGTTATGTATAGATTTGTGGAAGCTGGGGGCTGTTTGGTAACTTTTGGACTTGAATTGAAAGGATTTTTGGAAGCGGGCGGGCTATAGAATGAAATATGGATTTAATTTGAAAATGAATTGAGGAGGAGGGATTGAAAGTGTAAGAAAGGGATTAATGTTTGAATAAGAGACAAGACTTAAACCCGCTCCCCTCCACCCTTTTGCTACTCGGCTACAACTACATAAACCCTAACCCTAAATTTTAATGGAGTCGCCACATTATTCTCCAGTCATCGCCACCGCTTTCCTTACCTTTCCGATCGGGTGGAGACCACCGTCAACCTTGTTGCCGACAAGGATGAGATTGTACGGTGAATGTTGAGATCTAAGAGAGGGTGTCACAGGATTGAGTCGTAGTCGTGGCTGCAACTATTCTCAATGGCGGACGCAAACCTCCATCTCTCCACCGCAAACCGCTCCTTTTTCCTCTCCGCTTTCGTTCTGTCCCGCAGCAGCTACCTAGCGGCCTAGCCCGCCGTCGCCGCTACTCATGCAACTCTTCCTTCTGCTGCTCTGGTCGTCGTTACTATCCCCGAAGGAGGATGGTGTGGACACGTTTGTGTGTGTGTTTCACATGTATGTGTGTATTGCGGTGTTGTTACTCGTTGTATGCATTATTGGCCGGAAAACCGAGTAGAAAACCACCATGGCAGCTAACCATGGTGGCTGTCACTTTGCTGCCGCTTTCTGCCGCCACCAGCCACCGCGTTAGGTAGTTGTGTGCATGTATTAATATGTATATGTGAATGTTCTACGCAAATAATGTGTTAGGTGCTGATTTTCCGGATTTTTGACTCGAAAACCACCACCACCGTAAGGTGGTGGCTGCCCGCCGTAAACCACCTTCGACCACCACCTCCCGAGGTGGAAGTGGGTGGTACCCGACCTATTAAACTTTAACTAACCTAAAAACCTAACCTTGAACCTAGTTGGCACGTGTTTGGGTTGGAAACCCTAACTAGGGTTTAGAAAACCCTACTCTTGGAAACTTTAGTTTGGGACTTGTCGGGACCCGCGTTTTGGACTCATGGTTTGGAGTTATGAATTATACCCGACCACATTGTATGATTGACATATTAGGGCGATGGGCTTAATGGAATAAGCCCTTAATGGGTTAAGTGTGGAACACTAACCCTAGATGTTATTTTATGTGAGAAACCTAGTGTCAAAAAACTCTAATATTGGACACGATGATTGGGTATTGACTCAAGTGTCTTCATGTTGGTGAAAGGAAGTGAGTTGAAGATAGAGGATTTATTCGTTACTACTGTAGTAACCTGTCACAACTAGCATTTTGCTAGGAAATTTTACTCTCATGTAATCATTCACCTAGTGTAATAGCTTGTACTCTAAGAGAATATCATACTCTATGCTCATTCAAATACATCTCATGTGTTCAACTAAGGGCTGAAAACCCCTAAGAATCCCGGTTTAAGTCCATTATGGCTAAGGTTTCCTTATTGGGCCTAATGGATCAATAAGCTTCCAATTTGACTATTTTGGGCTTAGGACCCTTAAATAGGCTCTAATTCGACCCACCTTCATGAAACTTAACATTTTGGGCCATAATGGGCCTAAAATAAATTTGTTTACCTTTAGTGGGCCTTATTGGACCATAACTAATCCAATTAACCCTAGTAAGCCATAAATCCATTCTTTTATGCTATTTTGGGCCGTGAACTACCCTAAAGGCCCAATGGGCCGAAAAGTAGTTATTGGGCCTCATAATTTCGAACCAAGGCTAGAAATGGGCCAAGCTAATCTACCTCCCTTCTATTTAGCCCATTTTCGGCCCAAGTAAAATAAAAAAGAAAAAGAAGAAGAAAGAGATTAATGAAGGATTCTCTTAAACATGACACCTAAGTATTATATGAAGGTAATCTATGCATTACCTCTCATATCTCCATGCTAAACCCTTCATGTAATGACCAAGGATCCTACTTCTCCTATTCTTCTTAACTCTCGGCTATGAGATCAAAAAACCATCACCACACTCATTCTTGTATACAAAAATCTCTTAAAGAAGCTCCCAAGAACTCCTACATTTTCCTCTAAATTTTCGAGAATTAGAGTATACTTCAAGAGGTTCTAATCTAGATCATCACTCTTTGGTAAGTTGTTATCATACTTAAGTCTTTGATTTTCATCCTTAAGCTAAGAACACTCTCTTATGAAGCTTCATTTCATGATCTAACACCTTAGAAACTTCATAAGCTCGAAAACTACTTCAAGGTGTTGCTAGGACCAAAAATCTCTTCATCTCTTCTTCAAAACCGAAACATCAAAGCAAAGGTGAGTTCATACCCCCTTGTTTTCGGGTTTTACATGATTTTGGGGGGGAGAATACAAGTAAAATGTGTAGATCTATGTGTTATATGCATGTCTTGTGTGATTTCTTAGTTTATTTTGTAAAAATGTGTTAGATCTTAACAAATCTCGACATCTTAGGTAACATTGAGTAAAGATCCATGAACTAAGACACCTTATACATCATATTATCAAGTTAAAAGTGTTATATGTTGAAGATATAAAGATTTAAGGCAAAAACCTTGTTAAGGGTCAAAATTGTCAAGAAAACAAAAGATAAGGCACATTTATTTTTTGTTTTTATAAGGATCAAACAGGTCCTACTTGTATAAAAATGGATTTTTATGATAAACATGCTTTCCAAAGGGGAAAAATGTAAATTTTAGCTTAATGGGCCAAACATTTGTGCCTCACGGTTTTGGGCCCAAATTTGCGAAAAAATGAAAGTTTTGGGATTAAAAATGTTATTTGACCAAAGTTTGAGTCATAAATGTAAATAAACCAAATTTAGGGGTGAAAATAACATTTATTTCTAAATGGGACCAAAAATGTAACTTTTATCAAAATTGGACCGAAAGTGTCAATTTTTACAAACAAGGGGCTGAAAATGCATTTCTGCAAAATTGGGCCATAAATGTCAAAATATAAATTTTTGGACTAAATCCGTGAATTTCTAAACATTTGGGACGAAATTACAAATTTTTATAAATTATGGACTAAAGTGTTATTTTTACAAAACTTTAGGCCTTAATTGAAAATTTGAGGCTTATTGACCAAAAATGTCGTTTTTACAAAAAGAAGACTTTTTTTATAATCAATTTGGTAAACCTCGAGTTAAAATAAACAACGAAACAATAACGAATGGACGAAATACATCGATAACAATTTTATTGGGCCTAATATTCACATTACATGGCCAATGGGCCTTAAGGGCCCATTCAAGTGTATATTGAGCCCAATATCTTCCATGACATTTTTATTGGGCCTTGCTACCCATTTACATGTTAATTTGGGCCTAAGCTATGGGTCACATGTTTGTTGGGCCTTGGTGGTCCATTTACATGCCTATTGGGCCCAAATTACCCTCTTACATGTTATTGGGCCTTTGTGGTCCATTTGATGGGTTTGAGCCATAAGAACTTTCCTATGTGCACATGCAAACCCTAATGCTTGGATCTAGGTTTCTCTAATTGAACATGCATTGTATCCAAGACTTACAATACTAGATCTAATGTAAACAATTGAATCTAATCATATGAAATCAGATCTAAAAGAATACCTTGAATTACTTGCTTGATACTTCTTCTTCTTGGAGCTTAGAGTCACAATTGTCACTCCTCTAATGGCTTACAAACACCAAATAGCAAGAAGATGATCTTGAGAGAGATAGGAGGGAGAGAAATCGGCCCTAGGGTTTCTTGCCTTTCATGAGTGCCGATTTCCCCACCCCAAGGGATCTATTTTTATACTATGAGCTACTAGGGTTTCACCTTTAACCCTA